TATTCTTATAAGGAAGAGTGGCTGGAAAGAGATAGAACCTTTCCAACATATGTCAGGTATCGAGGAAGGATTAGCTAACAGGGCATGTCTGAAGGCAGAGGCTGAAGAAAATTATGCCCCCAGAGAATTCAGCCCACTGAAGACAACATCAGCTCTAAGCAAGCACAGCAGCCAGGAGAAAGGCTAAGAGACCTCAGGAGGGAATTCTGGGAATGGATCTGGAGGATCCAGAGGGAGAGAGGAGAAACTAGAAACTTGCCACCCAAAACCTACTGGCATTATTTAGTTTTTAATAATATTTACCTATTACATTAGTAATCCTTGTATGGAGGTTATATGTAGTGGGTGTATACATGTTTATGTGTGTGGCAATGTATGTGTATGTGTGCATTCATGTAGAAGCCAGAAGTCAACATTATGTGTCATTTCTCAGGAACCAACCTGTTGACAGAGGCCACTCGTTCATTCCCGGGAGGCTGCCTGGACCATGAAATAATCACTCAGAAATTATATTACTTGCAATACTGTTTGGCCAATAGCTTAAGCATATTGCTAGCAAGTTCTTACACCTTAAATTAACCCATTTCTATTAATCTGTGTATCACCACGTGGCTGTGGCTTACCAGCAAGGTTCTGGTGCATCTGTCTCCAGTGATGGCTACATGGCTTCTCACCGAGTTCACCTTCTTTCTCCCAGCATTCAGTTTAGTTTTCCTGCCTATTTCTATTCTGCCCTATCACAGGCCAAAGGAGCTTCTTTATTCATTAAACAATAAAAACAACACATGTACAGAAGGACTTCCCACATCTCCCCTTTTCTGTCTAAATAAAAAGTAAGGTCTTAACTTTAACATAATAAAATTACATATAACAAAATAGGTATCAAGCAAGAATTACAGTTACAATATTTATATCTACTTTATCTTTTATCATAACTAAGGAAAACTATAACTATATCTATTCTTCAACTCCATCAAAACTCCAGAAGGATACAATATTACATAAGTAAACAGGAAGTGCATTGTAAGCAACTTCCAAAACTCTAGAATTGACAGAGACATCTCGCTGCCTGGACAATCACCTAAAGTTCTTCTGTAACATTGGGGTACCCATCTTTAGTCTACAGGCCCATAGTATCCAGCAGACTTTTCCATGAAGCCAGAAATTTGAAGATCTGTTCTGCCTTGTAATGGCAAAGTCCATCAGATGCTTTCTTCTGTGTCTTGAGAATGTCTGGCAGACTCTTTCATGAGGTAGTAACCCTGAAGAAGTGTCTCACGTTCTTTAGGCAACTTTAGCAGTCATTTTCTGTAGGTCCTGCATGTCTAGTTTACATAGCATAACATCAAGCAGCCCAGGCAAGAGCAGTTTCTTGCCCAAATGACTAACAAACTCCATAAGGAGCCTCTTTGATGCCCATCATCCTCTTGAAGTAATTGGTGCTGCCAGAAGCAGATGTGTCTCATTTTCATGAAAAGTCCTAAGTTCTTAAAACATTTTAAATGCCATAATCTATTAGTCTTTGAGAGATTTGAAGAATAACTATTCAACTGAAATTTATCTCTGTACATCTAGAAAACCTAACATGACTACAAGCTTGACTATTATAGATGACTATCTATTAACTAATATTTCTTAACTATACATTACATTTTTAAATGAGCTGCACAAGCACAATACCTTAACACAAGAGCATAAATACACATATAAAAAAATTGACCTTAAATTTCTATCAGTAAACCAAGATCCATACCAATGTAAATATTTATGGCATATCCACCTTTAAAAATAAGCAAACATTTAGGGAATTTGGGCATAGTTTTTTCCAAACTGCTTTCTGCTTTTTGTTGGGCAAAGTATTTGGGAGGGGGGGTTCACAAAGATCTTTTGGGGAATCTTGGTCCATCAAACCACGTTAGTCTGTAAGGAATCCACAAGTTCTCATCTTCTGAGGAAATAAAAGTAGAATCTCTTTTCTAAAGCAACATGTCCTTAGACCCAAATTTTGAAGTAAAGAATATATATATATATGTTGGTTTAGCTTAGCAACATGTACAATGAAGTGTCTGTAGTCAAAAAATTCAAAGAAAACACAATAACATTCACAATTCAGACTCTGTGTAAATTCTATCTTTATGTGGCTTATTTTTATTAATTTTTGTACAAGTTTACTCTTTTATATTACTTTTACTGTCTCTTTACTGTTTTTCTTCTCTCTCTCTCAAGCCTATGTGACCCATTTAGAGGTCTTTTTTTTTTTATCTGAATCTGTCTTTATCTGTAATCCTTTTCTGATCAGGGCTGCTTTTATTTTTTAATACTAAGCAGGTGTGGCTAGGACCAACTTATTGGTCCTGCCTTCCAAAATGGTAAAGGCATGTTCACTGCCTCTGAGAGCCATGCACATTGCCCCATTTTCAGGCACATAGTGGGTTACAAGTTGTAGTACTCTGCTCACAAACCCCATTTAAATGCTCCCTAGCTAGACCTTCTGAAAGAATCAGAGCCTTTCGTGCTGGCGAACCAGGAGGCCACCATTTTTAAAGAAGCAAGAGCTTTTACTGCTAAAGCTGAGTCAGGAACCCTCTTAAAGGAGCCATGTCTCTGCTTTCTGCCAGCAAACAGCAATAAGGTACATTAAACTCTGTTTTTTGGTTGTTGTTGTTGGTTTTTTTTTTTTTTATCTAGAATACCTTCCCAAGCTCTTTCAGGTTTCTAAGTGGATTTAGTTGCCCACGTTGGTGCCAATTTGTAGTTGGAGGCTGCTCATTCATTTCTGGGCCTCTCAGACCCAAATAATCACACAGAAATCTGTATTAATTGCAATACCATTTGGTCAATAGCTTAAGCATATTTCTTGCTAATTCTTATATCTTAAATTAGCCCATGTATTGCCACGTGGCTGTGGCTTACCAGCTAGGTTCTGGTATGTTGTCTCCTGTGAGCAGCTACATGGCTTCTCACTGACTTCACCTACTTTCTCTATATATCTTTTCCAGCCTGGTTATATTCTGTTAAGCTATTGGCTAAAAGCAGCTTTATTCATTAACCAATAAAAGCAACACATATAGAGAAGAACTTCCCACACCACCAACCAGTTTGTTTTTGAAGCAGCGTCTCTCACCAGTGCCTGGGACTAACTAATCATACTAGACCGACTTGACCAGCAAGCATCAGGGGTCCTCCAGTCTGTGTCCCCTCAGTGCTGGGATAAAAGCTTTCAGTGTCGCGTTTGCCTTTTTACACGGAGGCTGAGGCCCTGTATCAGGTCCTCACATTTGCAAGGCAGACATGGTGCCCACTGGGCTTATCTGTCTACCCCAGCCCTGTATTGGTGGAGGAGGGTCTTCTGTTCATGTGTTGCTTTCTTTGGTTAATGAATAAAGAAACTGCCTTGGCCTAGCTGATAGGACAGAACTTACGTAGGCAGAGAAGAGGGAACTGAATTCTGGGAGGAAGAAAGCAAAGTCAGAGAGAGGACATGGATCCGTAGCTGGAGGTAGATGTGCTGAAACTTTTCTGGTAGGCCATGACCTCATGTGTATCAATCAATGATACACAGATTGATAGAAATGGGTTAAATTGATATGTAAGAGTTAGCCAATAAGAAGTTAGAGCTAATAGTTAAGCAGTGGTTTAATTAATACAGTTTCTGTGTGGTTATTTTGGGTGTAAGCTAGCCAGGTGGCCGGGACAAACAAGCCGCCTCTCCTTACAACACTGTATTAATAACATTTTAAAAAAATCCTTAAGAGTGTTAAATCTTTTGACTCTTAAGATCAAGCTGTCCCAGATACATGAGAAACACATGCTACCTGGCACTAGCTACCACCCACACTCACTGATATCTGGAGGACTGTCAAAGTTGGTCCCTAACGTCTGCAGGACTGGAAAGGTCCCAAGCCACTTCCATGTCCCCTGTAGTAACCCATCACCTCCTCTCTCATACTTACCCTGTGTATGGTATGGCAGGTACAGTCAGAGGCTCTGAAGCCAGGCAGGCTGGGGTCACATCCCAGGTCCCAATGCTTTACCCATTTCCTATGTACCTTATCTCCACCCTCTCCTGATGCCCATCAGAGCTGTGGGAGGATGCTCTTGCACACTGTAAAGATTTGTCACTTGTACTGGTTTAATAAAATACTGATTGGCCAGTATCCACACAAGAAGTATAGGTGGGGCAACCAGACTAGGAGAATTCTGGAAAGAGGAACAGCGGAGAGACAGTCACCAGCCAGATGCAGAGGAAGCAAGATGAGAACGCTGTACTAAGAAAAGGTACCAAACCATGTGGCTAAACATAGACAAGATTTATGGCTTAATTTAAGTTGTAAAAGCTAGCTAGTAATAAACCTGAGCTAACAGGCTAAACAGTTTATAATTTATATAAGCCTCTGTGTGTTTCTTTGGAACGGAATGGCTGAGTGGGATGGAAACTTCTGCCTATGCGTTAGAGTTGTTCATTTCTCGTCTCATAGCTCCTTCTCCACCGTGACTCCCCTCTCCTCAGAAAGCCAGCACATTGCTGTCCCCCCCTCCTTGTTTTTCCACGACTTACCACATGAGCGGTACCATCACAGTCCCACTTCAGATTGCTGTCTGTGGTCCCCACATTTAAAAATCGCAAACAACTTGACCATGCCTCAGCTGACCACAAGAACCTCTTTCCCTTTTCCCCTGAAGGGTCACTTCTTGGGGGACTCCATTTACTCAGCTTCAACTCATGTGCCATGCTTCTGGCTCTCCTCCAGTGAAGTCACCTCAAGAAGGTGACCGTGGCCATCCCACGCTTTCGGTCCCACTGCTTTAACCTTGCTGCTTGCCTGTCTTTGGACCTCTGCCACCCCCACTGTCTGACTACCTCTCAGGTTCTTCTCTGAGGGTGGTGAACGGCTTTGGCTCCTTCTCAGGTCATGCATCTCCCACCCACTCCCATGCTCCCCCTTCATTTGTACCTATGAGATCCACCCCCCTGTATGCCCTGTACTGGTTTTACTCACCAGATATTGGAGATGATGGGAAACATGGGTGCACCAGCCAGCAGGAACACGAGCCTCCAGTGGAAAACCCTGGTGGCAGCTCCTGACAGGAAAATGATCCCTAAGGCGAGGAAGCAGTGTTGCAGGATGATCGCATGGGCCCGGTGCTCGTCCACCAGCCACTCCATGACTGTGCAGAGCACATGGAACAAAACTGTGGTCAGTTTGCAGTCCCCTCTGGCTGGCCGTCCATGCAGCTGGCTGCCATGCCCACCTTTCCCTGGACGTGAGTTCAGAATAGACAGCTTCTTCCGCCTGTTCCAGATCTTTCTCAGAGCTAGACTGTCTGCGTCTCCCACTGCACACCCCAAGTCTTGATGAACCTCCTCAGGCCCAGACTCTTCCTTCCATTTCTTCTGCTCCCAACCACTCCCTCGGAAACTTCTACCTAACTTGTTCAGGGCCTCTCATGGGGTCTGACATGGGCTGAGACCAGGAACTACCGGTCTTGAAGTGCTTTGGTGCTTTGACCTCCTTGGCCTGAGGCTCTGTAGAGGGTTAGTTCCCTTTGGCTGTGTGCCGACAGATTCTCCACGGGAAGAGGAGTCAGAGAGCTCCAGGAACATGAGGGAGTATGTTTGAGTCTAGTATGGCTGTATATGTATTCAAGGTGCTAGCATCACACAGCTCCTAGGGTAGAAGCCCCAGCTCCTTCCTGCTGTGTGGCCCTGAACAAGTTGGTTAACTCTGTGAGGCTCAGGATTAAAAAAGCAAAGCAATAGAGGGCTTAGCAGCTCCCTTGATTCTCCAGGTGCAGGGTACACAAGTAGCATGAGGGGGAACATTTGGGGTATAGGAGAATACTGTGGGGGATGAGGGTTGGGGCACTCCCTTCTGACTCCCTCACACCCCTGAGCAGCCAAGACGGGATTATTCTTATTCCTTCCCCACTGGGTTTTAGCCTGTCCATCCCAGGTAGATCTACCTCCTGCTCCCTCTTGAACTGAACCTGTCTCCGTCCCACCTTGCCCCTTGCGAGTCAGTCACCTAGAGACACACTGCTGATGACGTAGCCCACAGCTGCCTGGGCCGCCGTGAAGCGGAAGAACAGATACTGGTAAAAAGTGTTCACAAAGGCTGTTCCAAAGCCGAAGACGAGGAGCCCCGCCATTGACATCAGGAAGACTGGATAGCGGCCTATCCTGTGGGTGTGAGGAGGAGATGCCACCGAGGGTCACACTTCCCGGGCCAGCCACAATGGTGCACCTGGGCCAGGCTCTGGGTTACGTAGGGCTTTGGGGCATCCCTCCATTTGCTTTCCCCAGCTTGAGATTCATTCAGAGCTCGTGGGTTATGCCATCTCCTGAGAAAGAGGCAGGGTGTCCTAGGAATCCGTGGGAACCCCTGGGGACTTACTTGTCACTTAGGAACCCGAAGAAGAGGGACCCTGTCAGGACACCTGCCAGAAACACAGTCTGCATGTTCTCCTTGTTTGGTTCATTGCCACACACCAGGTCAAACTGCAGGTGAGACAAGGGCATGGCTCACAGCCTGCACACAGACCTAGCCCTTCGGGAAAAGAGACTGAGCTTGACCCCAAGGGGAACCCTTAGGTCACTGATTCTCAACTTTTCTAAGACTGCGGCCCTTTAATACAGTTCCTCATGCTGTGGTGACCCCAACCATAAAATAATTTTGTTGCCACTTCATAACTGATTTTGCTACTGTTATTAGTCACGGTGTAAATAACTGATTTGCAGTATATCTGAAATGAGACCCCCACAAAAGGGTTGTTGGACCTCCAAAGGTGTTGCAACCCATAGGTTGAAAACCGCTCGCTGCCTTAAGCAGATGACACTCAGGGAAAGGGGCCATGTAGTTCTATGTGAAGTGTCTTTACTCTGTTATCCCTGGGCTCGGTCTGTCCAGCACCTGGTAGATCCTGTATCTAAACCTGGAGAGAGGAAGCAAAGACATTGAGCAAGAAAGGAGACTGGTGGAAACTTATTCAACACAGGCACGAATATTGGTCCTGGGCTCCAACTTAGAGCTTCCCATGGACTAAAAAGTACCGGGTTTCAACTCAGGGTATGAAGTCCTGTGAGAAATGCCCAACACAGGTTTTTTTCTTTCCTATCTGTAGCTTCTGTACATTCTGCTTGGTTGTCTCCTGACCCAGACCCCTTGCCCAGTGCCTCTACTGCCTCAACCCAGGCTTAGATCCAAGGTCTGCCAGATGTTGGAGAGAATACAGAGGTAACAGAGTAAAATACCCTACATACAGCTACCTATGCCCCATCTAAGGGCTCTCCATCTAAGGGTCTTCCCTTGACCAGAAGACAAGAGTCACGACATGATAAACAATTCTCTGGACAGGTGGCAAGCCTGTCTCTACACCAAAAAGCACTCTAGCTTCCTGCCTAAGACAGGAAGGGCACAGGGCTGGGAAACAAGAACCCCAGTTCCCTTTTCTGCACCCCTGCAGAATGTGCTCAGGCCAATTGCTCCCTGTCTCTGTCTCCTTTTCTGGGTAGCCATAAACAACCCCAGACAAAAGCATACCTCATTGATCAGGGAGCGCCTCTTAGCATAAGGGTAGATCCATCCATATCTGCATGTTTCTGTATAATTGAGGCCAAAATGGACGATGGAATCGAGATCCCACGGCACTGGTATATACATGAGGCAGGTCAGGAAACTTCCATTGGGTGCTCGGGGCAGGGTCAGGTTCAGCTGCTCAGCCACTGAGAGGTTGGGACCCACTTTCAGGATCCAGCTGGTGTTACAGTAGGGTCTCTGGGAGGTGAGCACGAAGCTATCTGAGAACATGAAGAAGGACAGCAGCACGTAGGGGATGAAGGTGAGGGCCACCAGCCTCCACTGGAATGTGCCGAACTCCCCCACAGCATCCAGAACACTGGCCAGTTTGTCATCCCTCTTGACCTCTATGGCCCTCAATCTGCGTAACAACATCTCCAAGGACCAGGAATGGGAGGGTAAGGACGTCTCATGCTGGTGTGTGCTCCTGGAAGCCTCGGGTCCAAATGATAAGTTGGAATTCTGTTCTTCTTTCATCTGTTTAAGAAAGGCTGAAGTTCAGTCCCCTGTCACCGTTCCCTGTCATCAGATCCCAGGATGGGAGCCAAGGGACAGAAATAACACCCTCTGCCTTGGAACAATGAGTACGTGGTCCCTTCCTTGCCTTCCAAAGTCTCTTAGTTGGAATAAGCCATTCCTCCTGGCTCAACCATTCAATTTTCAGTGCAATGGATATTTTGGATGTTTTGGAGAATGCTCTCCAATACAGGAACTCTCTGACAACTCCCTCACGGCGAGCTACTCACACACCTGAGGCATCACTGGAATTTCCAAGGCAGCCAAGAACTCCAGGGATCCCCTTCTTCAAATAAGTAAATAAATAATGAAGTAAGATAAACACCTGAATCAGGAGCAGCAAAGGCCTGGGGGGAAGGGGCAAAGGCAGTGGATTGGTGCCCTTGCCAGAAAGCTTGGAAGCCAGGGCTGGACTGTGAAACACCAAGGGGCAGAGACTTCCGGTAACATGGAGACAAAGCGGTGCAGCAGGTGAGGGCAGGAAGGGGTGTGAGCAGTGCTCAGGACACTGCCTTGGGATAGAGGAGGAGCAGACTCTAAGCCTAACCCTCTGTTTGGAGTAAAAATCCCTCTGCAGCACTAGGGAGGTTATGGGTTGGGAATGCTGCAGTCCCTTTTCCTGTGGAAACATTCTGCAAGATTCTCAAAGACCAATGGCAAACAAAGACTGTGGTCTGAGAAGCAAGTCACTATGACAACAGCTCACTGTCCGGAGAGTGAACTTCTAAGTATAAGAAGGGGTAAAAGATTGGTTGAAATAAAAATACTAGAAGGGAAGTTAGACAAATAGATTCAATCCAGAGAGTTAGCTAGCTGGAATGTGCAGCTAGCACGTGGGGCAGGAACTAGATTTGGTAGGTGGACGGTGGCATGGGCCTAAGCAGAAATTCAAAAGAGAAACAGAAAAGGCAATAAACAGAAACATTCTTTTCTCAAAATTAGAAACCATAAATCAATATAGGAAACCCAAAGCTTCTCTCAAGCACAATGGCAGGAACTCGTGGTTAAACACACTGTAATTAAGTCTTAGGACCCCAGGGGCAAGGAAGGATGCTGAAGCACAGCCAAAGGAGAATGAAGAACACAGCCAGCCTGGATGTGGTGTGTGAAGAACCAGGGTAGAATAAAGATGTGCATTGCTAATTGGGAACTAAGCGGGCACAGAAGCAAAATACCTAATCTGATGGAATTGACAAAAGATCTTAGGGAGTCCTCCTGAGATGAAACTCAGGTCAATCCAAACGACAAGTTTGTACAAGAATTTCAAATATAGATTGTGCTAAGAAACTAGGGGACTGTCAAACTATGGAGGAGAGAAAGAAGACGGTGGGGTGGCAGACATGGCCAATAGTAAGAGCGCACACTGCATTTACAATGGATTGGTGTTCAGTTCCCAGCATCCGTGCCAGGTGGCTCACAACTACCTGGAATTCTAGCTCCAGGGGATCCAACAACCTCTTCTGGCCTCCAAGGGTGTGTGTGTGTGCATGTGTCTGTGTGTGTGTACATATGCTAGTTGGGAGGGGAAGGCACCTATATTTTTCAGCGCTTCCTGTGACTGAGAAAGCATGCAAGGTGAAGGCTTTGGAGCCACCCTTGCCTCCTACAGATTTACAGTTACTTCAATGGGTAGATAAATGTTTACTAAAGGGAAAACATTTCAATTCAGAAAGAAAAATCTAAGGAAGAAGACACACAGACAAAGCGAATTCAGTAACCATAACTGGAAAAGTGAGCTCAAATTCATTGTCAAAACTTATAAAGCCATGCTGTTTCTGAGGATTGAGGAGCCTTCAGAGCTGGGCTTCAGCTGGTGCAAGGAAGGCCACTAGGGTCAAATACTTGAAGGTTGTAGTCGGACCCCCAGTTCTAGCTGCCATCTGCTACAGATCTAGAGCAACGTGGTTGTTCTTCCCACCACAGTGAACTAGAAGGTCTCAACCCTTGACCAAAACAAACCTTTCTTCCTTAAAGTGGTTTCTATCAGCTATTTGGCCACTGTGACACAAATGATCTGCCTATCTATCTATCTATCTATCTATCTATCTATCTATCTATCTATCATCTACCTATCATCTATCTATCGATCTATCTATCTATCTATATATCACCTATCTATCCATCGCCTACCTACCTATCATCATCTATTTGTATCTATAACTTATCTATCAATCATCTATTAACCATCTATTCATCTATCGATCATCAATCTATATATCAACTATCACCTATCTACATATCATCAATAATTAATCTGTCTACCTATCATCTATAATTTATATATCTATCACCTATCTCTCTTCCATCTATATATGTACAGTAGAATACCATTCAGACATTAAAGACCAACATTTTGTCATTTGTGGAAACATGGATAGAATGCTGGGCAGTGGTGGCGCACACCTTTAATCCCAGCACTCAGGAGGCAGAGGCAGGCGGATCTCTGTGAGTTTGAGGCCAGACTGATCTACAGAGTGAGTTCCAGGACAGGCTCCAAAGCTACAGAGGAACTCTGTCTTGGAAAAAACAAAAAAAGGAAGAAAAACGAAAGAAACATGAATAGTAGAGGCGGGCATTCTGCTGAGTGAAATAAGTCACATACACAAAGACAAATGCCTTGCGTTGTGTTCTCATTTGTGTGGAAGACAAAGTTGATCTCAAAGAAACAAGCAGTGGCTTACCAGAGCCTTGGCAGGCCAGGGGCAGAGGCGGGGAGATGAGAGTTAATAGGGAGAGGGATAGAGCTGGATCGAAGAAGAATACCATCTGATGCTCTGTAGCACAGCAGAATAACTATGGTGGACAACAATCAATTGACTATTCCAAAGTAACCAATAGCATTTTGAATATTCCCAATGCTAAGAAATAATGTTATATCTGAGATAGAAGATATGTTAATGACTGACTTGATCATTACCTATTGCATACATGTTTTTAAAGAGCTAGATTGTACTCTATAAATACACATAACTACTACACATTAATTAAAATGTTAATATAATAAGTTAAAAATAAAAGAGAACTATCAAATCCATACTATGTTTTAAAAGGGTTGTAAGCATTTCCCAATGTCCTGGGAGCATACCTTGTTTATGTCTTCTAGGCTATCATAGGGAGTCACCTTGGTCCTCTCCTCTTATTGAAATGTCTTGATGTAGATGACAATTTGCTCAGCTTGTAAGAAGACACACTTAAGGCACGAGGACAAGAAAAGGCAGAGAGTAATGGGATAGGAATGTTGTATTTGGTGCAATAATCAAAAGGAAGTCGATACAGCTAAATTACTCAGATAAATGCTAAAGGAACCAGAGGGGTGGCTCAGCAGTTAAGAGAACTCTGCCTTTGCAGAGGCTTCAGGTTTGGTTCCCAACATCCACATGGCAGTTACAACCATCTGTGACTCCAGTCCAGGGGGATCTGACCCCCTGGTTGGCCTTTGTGGGCCCTGCACATATATGGAAGGTGCACAGACATACATGCAGACAAAACACTCGTTTGCATAATATGAAAATCTTTGAAAAAAAGAAAAATACCAAAATTGGACATCACTAGGAATAGAGAGATTTACTACCTAAAGATAAAACGTTCAGAATATAGCTGGGCAGTGGTGGTGCACGCCTTTAATCCCAGCACTTGGAAGGCAGAGGCAGGCGGATCTCTGTGAGTTCGAGGCCAGCCTGGTCTACAGAGTAAGTTCCAGGATAGGCTCCATAACTACTGGGAAACCCTGTCTCGAAATCGCCTGCCCCCCAAAAAGTTTCAGAATATAATAAAACTCTTAAACTATCTGAGCCTACTAACCCCCTTCAAATACTTCAAAGTGTGCAGGGAGGAGCAACAACTCCGACACAGTGATGACATCTGTAGCCCTTCAGGTTGACTTTTAATTGTGTACACGTATCTGTGTGGAGGTATGTATCTATGTGCGGTGTATTTGTGTGTGTGCAGGCGCTCTCGGAGGCCAGAGCGGGTGTACCTTTATGGAGGTATGTATGTGTGTGTGGTGTATTTGTGTGTGTGCAGGAGCCCTCAGAGGCCAGAGCGGGTGTACCTATGTAGAGATATGTATCTGAGTGCAGTGTGTTTGTGTGTGTGCAGGCGCTCTCGGAGGCCAGAGCGTGTGTGGGATGCCCTGCAGCTGGACTGTGAGCCCCTCAATGTGGGCACAAGAAACAGAATTTGGATTCTCTAACAACAGCAAGCTCCTAGCCACAGAGCTGCCACTGCAGGCCCTGATGAAGCTCCTCTAAGAGGAAAAATGTATTTAGCAATGATATAGACTAACGCTGCTTGGGAGCTCTCTCTCGCCAGCTGTGGGGGGGGTGCATACCTGCCACCCCAAAACTGAGTAGTGAGAGGATCCCAAGTTTAAGGCTAGTCTTGGCTATAGAACAAGATTCTGTCTCAAAAATGGGGGTGGGGAGTCTTACTGGAGAGCTCCTGTGTTCTAGGGTGCTTGGCACACATCCCAAAGACTGAAGTTATGAGCCTAGCACCCACGTAACAAGCCAGGCAAGCATGCTTACACCCCAACTACAAGATGGGTGGAGACAGGAGGATTGCTGGGATTTTCCGGTTTCCAGTCTAGCTAAGAAAAAATGAAAGCACCAGACACAGAGAGACTCTGACCCCCAAAAGAAATAGTTGGGAAGCTCTGAGGAGATCATGTGCTATCTTCTGGCCTTCACACGCATATGCCTGTACACACACACACACACACACACACACACACACAAATGAAAAAACATTTTCAAAGCTGACAATCTTATTTTTTATTTTTCTTTTCTTTTCAAGACAGGTTTTCTCTATGTAGCTCTACCTGTCCTGGAACTCATTCTGTAGACCAGGCTGGCCCAGAACTCACAGAGATCCACCTGCCTCTGCTTCCCGAGTGCTGGGATTAAAGGCATGCGCCATCACCCCTGGCCACATCTGGAGGGTCGTTATCTATTGTCATTTATAAAATTCTGCAACACGCAACAAGAGAATATACGTTTTCCTCAAACCTACCCAGAGAATTTGTGAAATGCAATCACAGTTCAGGTAATAAGTTAAGCTTCAGGAAATTTTTGATGTATAGACATATGGATCCTTTTTCTTATGATTATTGTATTTAGGGCCTGGAGAGAGCTCAGCAGTTAAGAGTAAGTATTGCTCTTATAGAAGACCCAAGTTTAGTGCCCATGCTAGGCTGCTCACAACCCTCTGTGGTCCAACACCTCCACTGGCACCTACATATATATGCACATATATATGTAAACAAAATTAAAAGTAATATTACACATATTGTACAAAATGATGGCGTCCATTATGACATTCCCACACATGTATAGATGCTTGTTCATTCATCATTATCCTCTACCCTTTGTCTCCTGTCTTCCGACACCTCGCTCCTCCCAGGGGCTCTTCCTCTTCCCAGATAGTCCCTTTGACTTTCATTTTACACACACACACACACACACACACACACACACACACACACACACAGAGAGAGAGAGAGAGAGAGAGAGAGAGAGAGAGAGAGTCCATGTTTAAGAGAAAACATGCAATATATACTTTCTGATACAGTGGAAATAAATCAGAAATTAAGAACAATTTAATAGCATTTTATTTAAATTTAAAAGTTAAAAGTGTATTAATACATTTATAGTAGTTAAATTCATTTGTCACATTCTATCCCAGGCTCTCTTAGGCTCCTAAGTGACTTTTAGGGTTCGTCTGGTTTATGCACTGTGACATAACAGTTCTCCGGGCTTTAGCAAGACAGGGCCTGTTGCGTGTCCAGCTCTCCTTCCTCTTCTAAGTCATCCATGAGGCACTCGTTGGGATTCTGCCTTTCCCAGACGTGCAAAGCTGAACCCACACAGCATTCTTCCCTTTAGGATTTTGTTCACTTTTAATACTATTCATTTTCAATGTCATCATGTCTCTCTGTGATTTAACAGAAGTTTTAACTAAAATATAATTATGCTATTTCCCCCATCTCTTTCCTCCCTCCAATCCTTCCCATGTACACCAACCTCTTGATGTCTCTCATATTCACGGTCTCTATTTTAGTTGTTACACACACACACACACCTAAATATATTAATACAACCTACTCAGCCAACACAGCGTTACTTTTATGTGTAACTACATGATTTCAGTGCTTGGGGAAGACTGAGGTATTTCTCCCAGTTTTGGCACTCCTTAGCTGCATATAGTTCTTTGTCCGTCCCCTGAGATTTCTCTCAGCACATCCATCAGTGCCCTTGACAGAAAACCACAGCTGATCAAAATGCAGAAGGACCAGCGACTGTGTGGTGGCCAACCCTGACTTGTGTATCTACACCACAGCTCCCACACCCGAGGCTCAGGGATTACAGCAGAAGGGAGGTGGGGAGATTGTAAAATTCAGAGAAACAAAGTTCACTGTGAATTTTTATCTCTTAGAAATGTCAGAGAAACTGCAACCGTGAAGTCTCATCAACATGCTACCTAACAACACAGTTTAAAGGTCTCCCAAAGGTACTTGATTACATGTGTGTGCCACAGTCCATATATCCATTCACCCACTGACGGACACTCTACACGCGTGTGCCACAGTCTGTCTATCCATTCACCCACTGATGGACACTCTACCTGCGTGTGCCACAGTCTGTCTATCCATTCACCCACTGACGGACACTCTTCTATTCATTCTTTGGCAACTGTGAAGGAGGCCACTATAATCGTTTCTGTGGAAGTTTGTGTGCAGGCTTAAGTTTTCAAATAAACCTCTAGGGTCATGGGTGCCGGGGTGCTGGGATGCTGGGTCACATAGCAAGATTAGGATTAACGTTGTGAAAACTATCAACTGTCTTCAAATGACCCACATGACCCTGAAATCCCATCAATGATGAATGAGAACTTTGTTCCATTCCCTTTGCAGGAATTACTACGACCAGTTCCCTTTTCTTCCGGCCATGCCGGATAGGCATGTAGCAGCGGTACAATTGTTGTGGAATGCAATTGCTAACAATATCTTTTTCTCTTCTCATTTCTGTCTGTCTTTCTCCTTAAAGGATTGCTCTTCTTGCGCCTAAGTCTTAATTTCTCTGTCTGTCTGTCCATCAATCTCTCTATGTTTATCTCTGGGTCCTCTACATGCTGGGCTCTGCAATCACCAGACATTTCTGCCTAGTTTTAAAGATTTGTTTTTCACAGTGGGTATGTGTACATGACTGCAGGGGATGTGGAATCAGAGCCCCCTTCAGTGGGGGTTATACTGGTCGTGAGTCATCTGACACGGGTGCTGGGAATCAAACGGGGGTTCGCTGCGAGAGCCACGACTGTCCCCTGGCCCCCAGCCCCTGCCGCCTATTTTAAAACCTGTAGTTTGGACATAAGCCCTTCTCCAATGCTCCTTTGGCCTCTGACTTTCCGCCCTTCTAATAGGGTCTTTGTAGAGCACAGTCTTAGTTTTAAATAGTCTCAGCATACCTATTCTTTTTCTTTCTGAGGTTTTGCTTTTGATATTAAAGCTAAAAATCTCATTGCCGAACCCAAGAGCTCAAAGGTTTTCTGCTGTTTTCCTTCTACGAGTTTTCTTTTGCTGCTTCATGTTAAGTCTACAGTCTGATTTAATTTTTTGTAAATTAGTAGATTTACAAAATACTGTCTAGATTAGTATTTTCCCTATAGAGAGCCAGTATAACTCACTCATGGAAGGCTACATTTTGCCCCTTTGCTCAGGTGGCTGTATCTGCTGTCTCACCGACCTGTGTGCACACCATTTTGTCAACACTATGCTATCTCGGTTGTGCTAATTTTACTGCAAGTCTTGATATTCTGATGCAAATGCCGACACACAGACACACCCACAATTCAATCTACTTCCTCGCGGTCACAGTCGGCTGGCCACTCTCAGTCATCTGAATGTGAACGTTAGGACTCACTTGTTATAGCCACAAAAATATTTGCTGAGCTTTGATTGAGACTCTATGGAATCCTTAGAACAACAAAGAAGTATTACCGTAACCTTGGTAGAGAGTCTTAATAAGGTAAAAACTTGTGGGCTCCTCAAACATCAAAGAAATCATAGAAAACTAAAATATTTATAAGTGGTAACAATACAAGTATCAAATGCATGGGTGGTTTAAAAGTGGCGATTTGTGGGGAATGGATGCCTTTAGCTGCTTTTTATAGAAAATTAAAGGCTGAATATTGATCAGCTAAGTTTCATTATAAAAGGTAAAAAAAAGAAGAAGAAATTCTTAGAAGATGAAAATTATGGTCAAAGTAAAGGAAGGAAGCTGGGCCTGGCACTATAGGGCTCTGATTCCAACTACTTGTGAGGCTGAGGCAAGAGGATCACAATGTTTGAGACCAGCCTAGGGTACAAGATGAGTTCAAGGCCAGCTTGGTTAATTTAGTTAAATTGGTTAATTTACTCAATTAATTTAATTAACCCCTCCTTCCACGGACTACCCATGGGGATTGGCATGGCCTCTGACCACATCGCCATCCCCAATCCCAAAGGTCCCGCTAGAAGAACAGAGAGTCCAGCACTCAGAAAACGGCCAGGTGCCACGTCGGAAAACCCGCACTTCCCTTGAGGACAGCCTGCTCTTTCCAGAGCTCAGGCCCATTCCCATCCAGATCTGTGCTGGGAACATGGCCCCACACTCACCAGGTATTATCATAACTGCCACCTTCTACACATGCCCCGAGTCTGCCCTCCCTGGAGACAGGACCACAAGCCAAAGCCAGGGCCCACCTGACTGTTGTCCAGGCGCAACCACCGCCTTAGAAGCAGAACCCTGGAGTTCCATTGGTGGCCAGAGAGATCGCGTCACAATGGGTCGGAGAGGGTGGACTAGGAACGTTGAGGGCCATAGTCTACTCCAGACACACAGGTGGTCACAGTCTCGAGGCCAGAATTGGTTAAGGCAAGTAGGCAAACTGCCTGTGAGGCAGCCTTGTGCTTCTACACAAACTGTCTTCTATACGGAAAGCACGTCCCCTCCAAACGAAAGCCCACTCTTGGTCAGCTGTCCTTCAAGCCTTCCTGACCCCACCCCTGGAAAGGCCTACTCTGTACTATACTGCTTTTGCCTCAAGGACACGACTCTCTCAGTTTGCTAGACCTGCTCGCTTCTAACCCACCTTCCCAAGAGCCAGGGCCCTTCTCTGCTAGTGCAAATGGGACTACAGTCTTTCAGCTTGGAGTAGGGGTGGGGAACCAACACAGGAGCCAGCCAGAACTGGGGTGGGGAAGCCGAGGACTTGAGGGACCCTGACTGTGGCTTTAGGACACGGCTCGGGATAAGAACCGGGTAAGAAGAAGGAATGACAGCAAAGGAGTCTGGGGACCAGACTTGCCAGATGTCTCCATCAGCACGGGGCACTGGCAAAACTGGCAGAGAAAAGTTAGGAGGCAGGACTCAGGAGACAACTCAGCAGGCCAGAGGCTCACCGCACAAGCATAGAGGGCCCGTGTGAAAGCTGCAAGTGGTGGCCTGTAAGTCCAGCTCTACAGAGACAGGAGGGTCCCTGAGGCCGGCTGGGCAGCCAGCCTAGCTGACTGGCGCGCGCCTCTTGTCCCAATGACGGATCCTATCTCATATAACAAGGTGAGGGGTTAGGGAGAAAGCTCAGTACTTGGCAAAGTACTTGTCACATAAACATGAAGACCTGAACTCAGATGTCCAGCAACAATGTAAAATCCAGGCCCAGCCCCAGATCCCTGTATTCCCAGCCCTGCAATGGTAGGAGGAAGGATGGGATGGGGACAGGGAGACCCCTGGAGCTCAACAGCCAGCCAAACTATCTGAATCGAAGAGCTTCAAGTTCAGTGAAGGACCAAGTCTCAAAAACTAAGGTGGAAAGGGATTGAAAAAAGACACCTGGTGCTAACCTCGGGCTTCCACATGTATACACACACACAAGAGAGAGAGAGAGAGAGAGAGAGAGAGAGAGAGAGAGAGAGAGAGAGAGAGA